GTAAAAGTACCCCGTATCTGAGCCTAGTCACATCACAACCTTTTTTCTTCCAATTCTCCATTCCATTAGGATGCTGGGTGAGCACACACAAGCCTGCCATAAAGCTACAGGTCTGAGATTCAAACCCCAGTTGCCAATGTAGGATATGGCTTCTTCTGTGCAGCACCTAACCACTGCACCACAAGACCAGCTCCATATCCAGTCCTCCCTCATGTTAAAAGTGCAGTGGAGCTAAGGTCTAAACTAAATGATATCCAGACTTTTTTCTTTCTAAGTTGTGAGTTAAATAAGAACCCAAAGGGGCCAACCATGCTGCGGTGGTTAAAGTGGCTGGATCCCACGCAGCTAACTGTGTCCTAGACTTCGGGTCCTAGACTTGGTGATTTGAGAAACATGCAGAGCATATGTGCATACATATCCTGAAAGGAAGAAGTAGAGGAGAAGGATTGATGGCATGACCATAGTCCATTGAAGACTGCCTTTCTCTCTCTCTCTCTCTCTCTCTCTCTCTCTCACAAGCACACACACCCTATGGCAATTTTTTTTTTTTTTAAAGAAAAAGGAGGGGAAAAAAAGAAAAGAACCCAGAAACATAAACAGTGGGAGTCAGGCAGAAAGATCACACACAAAAGCACACAAAAAGTACTTTCTTATATCTATAAACAAAGATAAAGGCACAAACACTTCTACCTCCTGTAACAAGGTTATCTACAAAAATAAACATACTTTTTAAATGAGCTACAGATATTTAAAATAATGACTATATAGTATTTAATCCTAAAGAAACTATTGTTAACATTCCACAGTATGAAAGCAAACATATACTAGATTCTAATTTTCTGTTCACACCTACCAACCAATAATTTAGGCACAAATGTGGCTAGTTAATATAATTAAAGGAATTATTTTAAGGTTACAGTGTAGAAGTAATTCAAATAAAAGCAATGTAATTCAACAGAACTGTCCTAAAATAAAGTTGTACATTAAGATTTTGTAATAAAGGTACTTTCCAAGAATAATGTTACAAAATTAAAACTTTTTTTGTTTTTGAGAGATTTCTGCTATAGGGAGCATGTGCTCACCAGAGAGACAGACAGAGACAGAGACAGAAAGTGAGAAACCATCCCGCAGGGATATGGCCATGCCAAAATCCCTTCTTCTCCATTCTCCTCTCGGGATCTTGGACATGCACGCACACGTGCCCAGTGAGTTTTAAGTAGCCAGCTCCAGGACTCAAACCACAGTTGACTACGTGGGAGTCCAGCAACACAACTATTACACCATCTGCTGGTCCCCAAAATTGAAGCTTTTAAAAGTAAAAGGGAGAACATAAATTTTACTTATAAAACAGAATCTTATTAAGTAGCAAAATCATTGAGATCTGACATAAGCAATAATGAAATAAAATTAATAATACTGTAGTATGAGAATATACTTGAACAACTTTCATGCTCTGTAACAAAGCATTAGTAATACATTAGTAACACTACTGTTATGAATTTTTGCAGCTATTCTAGATTTCCATTAAGAAATTTATAGGGACCAGCAGATGGCATAAAGGTTACGTCGCTAGACTCCCACATAGTAGACTGTGGTTTGAATCCCAGACCTGGTGGCTTAAACTCAAGCCAGGTACATGTGTATGTATGCCCAAAATCCTGAGAGGAAGATGCAGAAGAAGGGACTGCAGTGTGGCCACCCACCCTGGAAGGCGAATTATCACTTTTTGTCTCTCTTTGTATTTCTGGCAAGCGCATGCACCCTATAGCAAAAATCTCTCTTAAAAAAGAAAAAGGAAAGAGGGCCAGGAGGTAAGGTGGTTAAGGGCACTGAACTCACTGGACTCCCATATGGCTGACCGCAGTTCAAGTCCCAGATCTGTCAGCTTGCTTTCTCACTTTCTCTCTCTCTCTCTCTGTTCCTCTCTGGTCAAATAAAATAAATAAATAAGTAAATAAAGTTAAATAAAATAATGTTTGAAAAAAAAGAAATTTATAATAATACAATAACACAATTTTAAAATGTAATAAAAACAAGAAAATATACAACAAATTGTAAAACTAAGGATCAGACAATGGTGCAGCAATAAACTATGATGTTCTACCATTCCCTCATGGCAATTTCTAGATTCAGGTCTGGACACTTCCCTGAGTATATGCCAGACACACTGTGTTAAGACCTGGTGTTGGATGAGGTTGGCATGGAGTGCAGCTTAAGACCCTGATAGGGTCGCTGTTTCTCTGTTTCTCTCTTGCTCATGGAAGAAATAAATAAACTTCTTTAAAAGTGTAAACTTAAACCCCATGCCTAGTGGTTAAGGGAAACCAGATCCTACATGGCTGACTGGCGCTTGAATCCCAGCCCTAGTGATATGAAAAACATGTTGGTCGTGTGTGCCTGCATGGGTGTCTGATATCCTGACAGGATGCAGAAAGGAAGAAGGGACTGCAGCATGACCACATTCCATTGAGGGGTGTTTTCTCTCCCTCCCTCCGTCTCTCTTTCTGTCCTCTGACAACTTAAAATGCAAAATTAAAGAAGGTTTAAAATAGATAGTGGTCAAAAATATCTTTTAAAAGTTATTTAGTTCTTTCATATGTAGAAACTAACAAAAGAAAAATAAATTTCCTTCACTAAAGTTAAAGCATTGTTTCACAATTTATAATCTAAATAAATTCAAATGCTCTTCCATAACTAATATTTATTCTGAAAAGGAAATGCTCTCACATAAAGGTAAAACAATGTGCTCACTTCAAAATGGTTATAGATTCGGGGGATAATGTGGGAAAAAGGTGGGAGAAAGGGAGAGAAGGGTGAGAGGGGCAAGACGTTTATGGGACACAGAAATGGGTTATTATTTTTTGATGATAATGTGTTTTGTATACTCAACTGAATTAGTGGGAAGTGTATTCATGTTGGGTATATTCAACTTACAAGCAAAGTGATATACAGTAATTAAATGTATAATATATATTTTTTTAATGTTGCTAGCTAAGACTGGGTTGTTTTAATCCTGGTTTCACACTCACATAAAAGGAACTAAATGTTAAAATATCTTCATAAACAGGTAAATTTTAATAAAAGTGAACATTCTAGAAATCTAAAATTAATTTCAATACTAAAGCATGGTTTTATTTCAAATCTACTTTACCACTCAAAAATTTAGGGCCTAAAAACCTCTGTGAATGTCAAATTAGAATAAAGCAGGAGTTCTCAAACAAAGAACATTTAGAATAAGATAAACTACAAAAAACATACATGCTCTGGGGGATATCTAACATTTAGATTCAGCCTTTCAAGTTATTTAATTCTTCTTAGCATTACCTTTTACTTTGAAAGATTCCCTAACCTATATTAATTGCCTGAAGGCATGTTGTTTAATATTTAAAGAAATTTTATTAAGACTGCCTGTAATACTCATTAAAAGCTTTATAATGACCATTTTTAAAAGATTATTTTAACTGACTTTACGCAAGCCATCTGGCAAACAATATTTCTCATAAAAATCAGCTACTACATTTGAAAACAGGATTAGCCCAGACGAAAATTAAGATATAAACTGAAGAGAATTTTCAAACAGGAATATAAAAAGATTTAATAAGTCAGAACTAGTTTAAAAATCTTTTTCCAAACTGTTTTTAAAAATTGAATTTACAGTTAGGATTAAATAAATGGCCTTTTTAGCCAACATTATTGCAAATGCTAAGCCATAAACATTAAGACCGTAACATTAAAATTCTGTCACATATATTATAATGTAATGCCAATGCCTTTTAAAAGGTTAAAAAGTGACTTTTGGCACAAAGACCAAACCAAAAAACAGAAGGAAAATATTCTAATAAGTCGTACTTGTTCTGTAAATTAGATCCAGAGACATAATTCTAAGATTTAAGCTTCTAGACATATAGTCATACACTGCATAACAGGGTGTCAGTCAACAGCAGACAGCATATACAACAATGGTCCCATAGGAAGATGGAGGTTATACCATATAGCATATTCCACACATCTACTCCATCCTGATGTGTGTAAGTACACTATAACATTCACGCAATAACGAAATCTCCTAAGCCTTTCTCAGAATGTATCCCCATTAAGCAACACATGACTGGATTTACAAATGCCAATCTTTCACCTTTTTTTTTTTTTTTTTTTTTGGAGAGGTTTTTGCTACAGGGCATGTGTGCTCACCAGAAAGAGAAAGAGAGAGAGACAGAAAGCAAGAAATCACCCCCAGGGGGGATGGCCACACCGCAATCCCTTTTCCTTCTCTTGGGATCTTTGGTACCCACGCACACACACCCGGAGTGAGTTTAAGCCACCAGGTCCGGGTCTCGAACCAGTAAAGTACATGGAGTCCAGCAACGTAGCCATTACATCATCTGCTGGTCCCGATCTTTTATCTTTTTAAGTAAAATCTAATATATGAACATATGCTGAAGAGAAATATGTTATTTTATCTAGTCAATACAAGTTCAAGGAGATAAAAAGAAATTTAGGCCCAGCAGCCATGACACACTGGTAACACTAGGGCCTCATAGTGCCAGAAGTCATGTGACAAGACTCTATTAATGGTGCTTTTTCTTTCTCTCTCATGTGTGTACACGCACACTTTGTATCATAAAGAGAGGGAAAAAAAATTATGAGCTCAGTCAGCAAATGAAAACTAAAAGTATGCTAACATGTGTAACAAAAACATTTAGTAATCAAAAACTTGAGCTGGTCAGTGGCTTGGTAGATAAGGGTGCTGAACTCCCTCATGGTTTGACTGTGCTTTGAGTCCAAGACCCAGCAGCTTGCTTTCTCACTTTCTCTCTCTCACTATCTCTCTTTCACTCTGTCTCTCTCTGGTCAAACTAAAATAAATAAAGTTAAATAAAACCACTCATTAAAATAAGAATTATTGAAAAAAAAAAAAATCAAGGGCCAGCAGGTGGTGTGGTGGTTAAGGGCACTGGACTCCCACATGGCTGACTATGGTTCAAGTCCCAGACCTGGCAGCTTGCACTTTCTCTCTCTCTTCCTCTCTCTCTCTCTCCTTTGGCCACTCTCTGGTTAAATTAAAATGAATATATAAAGTTAAAATAATTCTTTAAAACAATAATAATCAAAAAATTCATGTAACTAAGAATCTTTAAAAATACATTTAAAAATGGAAAACAAATTCAAACGCAGTGGCAGTCTAAACCAATCTGTTATAACTAATTGTACAAATGAATACAGTAAATTACTATGAATTACTTAACCACCATGTTATATGATCTAAACAGTGAGGAAAATATGTGCAGTAATGACTTGCAGGTGAAGAAACAGGAAGTGGAGGGGAACAGTCACAAAAATCAATATTAACTCCAGATTAAACACATTGTACAACAATGGCAGTTTCACATCTTGCTTCATGCCTCACTGAATCAAAGAAGAGCTTCATGCCAACAGCAGCTCAATAAGGCAAAATTTAGTACTCTTGAGGCATGAAGGATATGCAAGAATAGTTTCTATGCAAAACTAGTTAACCTCAAAAAAAAAAAAAATCTAAACCTTTTACATTAGATGAAATGTAAAATGTCAAAAGTGTATTTTCATTTTATGTAAAAGTTCTACATATAGGATTCACTCAAATAATTGAATACAAAAGAAGCATTATCAAAAAAAAGTGTGTTACTTTTCATATAAAATGATGAAAAGAACCTCTCAATAAAGCAATTAAAAAATATATTTGTAAGAAATATGTTTTTACAAATTATTGTTGTTTTCTAGCAGTTAGCTCCTAAATAGTCAATATTGCTAAGTAATAGCGGTAATAATTAAGGTTTGTAAAGTGTTCATGGATTTTATACTATATTATTTGATACTTAAAATCATGTGTGATCTTGATAATATCACAAAGTTGAAAATCTTTTCTAGAACAGTCTGTTTGCATTCTTCTCTTTTCCTTTCTGTCCATTTGATTCATGTTCCGTGAGTTATATCTTTGATGTTAACATAATTAGCTCCCCTGCATGGTTGATATCTTATTATTCTTTGATGGGGTAAATGTAATATGTGTATATTTCTATACTGTCCTTTTGCCCCCAAAAGTATTTATGACAGTTAACTAGGAATAAAAAGAAAGGCAAGATTACTTAAAATTAGAAGTAGGTTGGACCACTCATAGTGCCATATACAAAAACATCACCACATATTAGGGAAAGCATTTCAAATCCATCATAGCAGTTGTCAGGATATAAACAAATAGTCATATAAATAAAACAAAATTATAACTGAAGTCATTTTCATAATCTCTATCACTAAAATCACTTTTGAGTAGAGAATGAGTATTGAGTGAATTTATATTATGCCACATTCTGGAAAAACATTAATTTTTTCCCAGCACTTATGATGTGGATTAAACATGGCCACACTCCTCTCATAAGAGGCAGCGTGTATATCTGTTCCCCTTGAAACTCAGTAGGCTCTTTTACTAACAAATATAGTAGATTAGAGACTGTGCCAGTTTTCCAGCCCAAGTCTTAAAGCATTAATATCTTCTATTTCCTTACTTTTAGAATATTCTCTCTCTTATAGCCTCAAGCTACAATCCAACTTTACTACTGGGTCATCTGAAAGGTCATGACTCACCTTGGGATAGAAACACCTAGAAAAATACGTTGTGACTTTTCTGACAACCCAATAATACAGAAACCACATGGAAACATGCCCTGAGAATACACTGGAGAAGAGCAGCCCTAAGACCCAACTGAATTCCCAATCAAGGTATTGTGAGCATAAAAGCTTGCTGGTTTGAAAAAATGATTTTATTTAGCAACAGATACATTGATATCAACAGATAAGTACCAAAACTAAACTAAAGCATAAACACTGTGGAAATGCCATTTAAAGGCCATTATCTAGCATAATAAATAGTAAAGGTAAATCCTGAAAACTAATATTACTCTTAATCACAATTAGCGTTTATACGTACCAGTTCATCTAAAAAAGCCTGTTTATTCTTCCTTTTTAGAATTTGCTGCAGTTGTTCTTCTTTTTGTATAAATAATCTTCTTTGTTCATTTTCCTGACGTTCTACTTCTAATGCTTCTTCTAATTCTTCCTGTTCCCGAGTCTACAACAGAAATGTATATATGGCATGGAATAAAATTAGTAACCAAGAACAAACCTATGTCACCCTCTGATGTTTGCTTTATTGGAAGCATAAAACACATTGGTTCACAATAAATGGGTGTAAATACCAGATATAATGTGTGTGGAAGAGTAGGGCCTGAGGAGGACATTTAGAAGAAAAATAAGAAGGCAGGCAAAGCATTAACGGGACAGAGGAATGTGGTATTATCTGGAAAAGATATTTTATAGTTTAATCAACTGGACTAGGGAGAAATGTTGACATATTGATATATTCACTTTGTAAGCTAAAAAAGGTAATTAAGTGTATAGAAAAATGAAATTTAAAAAAGGGGAAAAAAACACATTAGTCACTTATTGTTTAATAATACAGCATTTTACTTAGCTGGAACTAGGAATTTGTTTTATTTCATGTGGACATACTACTACTATTAAAAAGAACAACAACTAGGGGCCGGCAGGTGGTATGTTGGTTAATGGCACTTGACTCCCACATGGCCGACCACGATTCGAGTCCCAGACCTGGCGGCTTGCTTTCTCGCTTCCCCCTCTCTCTTTCTCTCTCTCTCTCTCTGGTCAAATTCAAACAATCAAATAAACAAACAAAATAAATAAGTAAAATAAATTAAGTTAAGGGACCAGCAGGTGGTGTGGTGGTGAAGGTGCTGGACACTCCCACATGGCCAGCCACGGTTTGAGTCCGGGACCTGGTGGCTTCCTTTCTCACTTTCCCTCTCTCTCTTTCCTCCTCTGTGTCTCTCTCTAGTCAAATTAAAATAAATGAGTGAATAAATAAAATTAAATAAATAATTATTTTTTAAAAAATAAATAAATTAAGTTAAATAAAATAATTCTTAAAAAAAGAGAGAATGACAACAAACACTAAACAAAGTACACCAAGCCCAGTTGCAAACTGTAAGAACTGTACTTAATAATGTAATTTTTTAAAGTTATAATTATTATAGACATAGATGATTTTAAGTCATTCATTTTAGGGGCTTTCACAAGCCAAAATCAAAACACAATAAACAGGGAACCAGCAGTTAGTGTAAAGTGTAATGGCTATGTCACTGTACTCCCACGTAGTCGACCGCGGTTTGCGTCCTGGACCCGCTTAAAACCCACGTCGGGCGCGGGTGTGTGCGTGCCCAAGATCCCGAGAGGAGAATGGAGGAGAAGGGATTGCGGCGTGGCCATCCCCTCTGGGGGATGATTTCTCGCTTTCTGTCTCTCTGTCTCTCTCTGTCTGTCTGGCAAGCGCACGCGCCCTATAGTGAAAAACCTCTCAAAAAAAAAAAAAAAGAAAACAATAAACAGAAAATCTCTGTACAAAGCTATGATTAAAATATTCTATTTAAAAGACTGGCTTTAATAAAAATTATTTCCAGAACAAGTTACGATGAATAGTCACCATAGTATTGGGACTAGCAGTTAGGGTAATGGCCATGTCGCTGGACTCCCATGTAATCGACCATGGTTCAAGTCCCGGACTCAGTGGCTTAAACTCACGCCGGTCGCATGTGCATGCATGCCCAAGGTCCTGAGAGGAGAATGGAGGAGAAGAGATTGCAGCGTGGCCATCCCCCCTGGGGGGTAATTTCTTGCTTTCTATCTCTGTTTCTCTCTGTCTTTCCGGCGAGTGCACGCACCCTATAGCAAAAACCTCTCCGAAAAAAAATAGTCACCATAGTATTTAACTTCTTTTTCCAAAGATCAGTTTTTATAACACCAAAGTTCTAAACAGTGCTCATTTAAAGTAAGTTTTGAAAAATTGAAGTTATTGTCTAACACGAGCATGTAAGTTTCAAGAGTGCTCTTTATGAACAAAAACATTCAAAACTAAAAGTTAGTACCTAGAGAGAATGAAATATAGGTGTACTTGTTCCCTTTCATGAAGTTCCTCAAAAACATTAAATACTTCACGCTCTGAATTTTATTTCAATTCATACTTAAAAGCAGTATTATACCTATCCTTTGCTTTTTAACTCATAAAAGAGAAAGACAGTAATATCTAAATGACTTTCATTTGAAAACACTGACTCTTTCTCGTAAAAGTATTGTGAAATATGGGACTGACAGGTAGTGTTGTGGTTAAAGTGCTGGACTCCAACATGACTCACCACGGTTTGAGTCCCGGACCTGGCAGCTTGCTTTCTCACTCTCTATCTCTCTCTGGTCAAATTGAAGAATAATAATAAATAAATAAAATTAAGTAAATGATTCTAAAAAGAAAGCATTGTGAAATAATATTTAAATCCCCTATTGAAATTACTTCAGGGAATCAGCAGTTAGCGTAATGGCTATGTCGCTGGACTCCCACGTAGTCGACTGAGGTTCACGTCCCGGACCCAGCGGCTTAAAACTCACGCCGGGTGTGTGTGCATGCGTGCCCAAGATCCTGAGAGGAGAATGGAGGAGAAGGGATTGCGGCGTGACCATCCCCCCTGGGGGGTGATTTCTCGCTTTCTGTCTCTCTGTCTCTCTCTGTCTGTCTGGCGAGCGCATGCGCCCTATAGCGAAAAACCTCTCCAAAAAAGAAAAAAAAAAGAAATTACTTTCAAAAAGAAATAGATAGGGAACCAGCAGTTAGCATAATGGCTGTGTCGCTGGACTCTCACATAGTCGACCGCAGTTCGCATCCCGGACCCGGTGGCTTAAAACTCACGCCGGGCACATGTGCATGTGTGCCCAAGATCCCGAGAGGAAAATGGAGGAGAAGGGATTGCAGCGTGACCATCCCCCCTGGGGGATGATTTCTTGCTTTCTGTCTCTCTCTGTCTGTCTGGCAAGGGCAAGTGCCCTATAGCGAAAAAAAAAAAAAAAAGATAGACAGACAGACAGATAAATAAATAAAGAGTATGCATAAAAAGGGGTTTGTCAGGTCCAGCCACTGATGTGACGGTTAAGGTACTGGACTCCCACGACTAGCTGGCTGCAGCTCAAATCCTAGACCTAGTGGCTTGAAAACCACACCTGGCACATGTACATATATGCCCAAAATCCCAAGAGAAGAATAGAGGATTGCAGAATGCCCATCCCCCTTGGGAGGTGATTTCTCACTTCCCTTTCTCTGGCAAACATATACACCCTGTAGCAAAAATCTAAATAGAATTCAAAAGAATGTCATATAGTGTTGGGGACTGAATTATGAACCACCCCCAAAGGGTATGCTGAGGTCCTAACTCATAGTACTTGTAAAGGTGACCTATTTGGAAAAAGGGTCCTTGCAAATGGAACCAAGTTAAGATGAGGTCATACTAGAAATTTAGACACCCACACAATGAAGAAGATCATGTGAAGATAGAGGCAGAAATTAATATATTTACAAGCCAAAGAATGACAAAAATTGCTAGCAACCACCAGGAGCTAGATAAAGCGATGAACCATCCTCTGTTAGAGTCCTCGGGGACAGCATACCCCTGTAGACACCTTTCAGACCTCTATCCTCCATAGAGATGAGAAAGTAAATTCCTGTTGTTTAAGAGATCCAGATTGTGGTGATTTTTTTAGTGCAGCTCTAGGAAAACGGAGGTTAAACTAACAACTTTGAACAGTATGTATTTCTCCCCACTGACGGCCTGTTTTCATCTTTTGCTTTTTTAAAAAATTATTTTTGTTTGTTTTGCTGTATCTTTCAGTTTCCTTTTCCTTTCATCACTTTAACTGCTCAGTCTCCAGCACTGGATGTCTAGACTGGTCTAAGTGAACCATAGCAAAATATCTGACTACTATTCAGGTCAGAATATTCCTCAATTCCCTTTGAATCTGCCGCACAAAGGAAGAAAAACAGAATGGCAGGTAAGTTGCAGATCACTTCCTCTTGTACGCTTCTGAATACTCAGATTGAACTTCAAGAAATTAGGAAAAAATGTATAATCCATCAGATGACCAGAAATCACCACAGAGCCACAAGAAATATGAAAAAAAAATAAAATAAAATACCTCTCCCCCTAAGGAAAAGAGTAACTCCTCTTCATCCACAGACAGTACAATGGAACTCACAGAAATGCCTGAGGAAGAATTTAGAATATTCATAGTGACAAAGCTAACAGAGATGAAAGAGAAGAGAGACAATGAACTCCAGAAGATGCAGGAAAAAAGAGCCAAAGAATTCCAGGATGTAAGGAAATTCTTGCATGATCTGAAAGAGGAAATATACACCATAAAAAAGAATCAAGTGAAACTGTTAGAGATGAAGGCTGTAATACAGGAAATCAAAACCTCCCTTGAAAGTATTAAAAGCAGACTAGATCATAAAGAAGATTGAATCTCAGATGTGGAAGACAGAATCGCTGGACTAGAAACCACCACGGAGACTGAGAAAATAGCCGAAAAAAATAAGAATAATATACTAGAAATACTAGGTACCTTTAAACATCCAAATATCCAGAAAATCAGTATCCCAGAAGGTGAAGAGACTAATAATAAGGGCATTGATAATCTATTCCATGAAATCCTGGAAGAAAACTTTCCAAACCTAGAGAGGCTTTCAAAGATCCAGACCCAAGAAATACAAAGGACCCCACATAGTATCAACCCAAGAAGCTCTTCTCGAAGACACATTATAGCCAGATTGACCAAAACCACAGACAAAGATAAGATACTAAGATTAGCAAGGAGAAATGTCAAGTTACCTACAAAGGATATCCCATCAGGCTAACAGCAGACCTCTCATCGGAAACAATGTGAGGAAGGAAAGAATGGGAAAATACATTCAAAGTGTTAAGTGAAACACAATTTCAACCAAGAATACTATACCTGGCAAGATTATCCTTCATATGAGAAGAGAAGACAAGAACACTCTCAGATAAACAAAGCCTGAAAGAATTTACAGACACCAGACCAGTTCTCCAAGAAGTTCTGAAGGTACTGCTATATCAGGGAAGCTAAATATATATATACACAGAAATAAAAGTTCAAAAACAACTAAGAAAATGGCCAACTTAATGGTAGAGACAAGTCCAGAGTTGAATGTTATCTTCCAGAATTTAAACAAAAAGATCGGACCACAACAGAAGATAAAGTAAATGAGACTAAACTGCTGAAATAGAATTTTATGACTTTCGACTAAAACATTACTGATTTTCTTCTATGGTTTGTCTTCCAGAGTTAAGGAATTTTTTCTTCTCTTGAGCTGTGTATAGGTTCATGTACCTACTACTTGAACAGAATCCTAACCAGTTTCCTGGCTTTAAGCCTTAAGCAAAATTCTCTTAACATTTCTTGATTTAGATTTATTAAAGCTAAAACTTCCTTTCTTGAAACTGAAAACTATATTTTAAAATACCTATTTAATAACCACAGTAAGCTATACAGCCTCAACTAGGTGCTATTTTATAGTATATTCATTCTACTCATAAAGTTTCATGCCTAAAGTCAGACATGTGTTCACAGACATGTATACAGCAGCTGAACTTGCTATTGAAAGTAGTTAGATTAATTAAGATATTTTGTCAATTAATAAAATGTGGAGAGGGGAAAAATGGAAAGCAACTGTAGATACCAGAGATGGTGTGAAAGGAGAGTGGGAAATGGCAGAGGGTAAGAAATAGGATAAAAGAGAAGAATATATATATATACATATATATATATATGAAACACGAAAATTGGAAAATTATTTGTTGACAATAACTTTTAAGATTAAGCCACTATACCGTGTATTCTAGATGGGAAATCTCATTTTGTATGTCGTGATGATGTTCAGTGAATGAACATAAAATAAAATTTAAAGTTACAAAATAATTAAAAAGAAAAATGATAAGGAATAATGATCCACAGAACATAAAGACTAATCCAATATTACTTGAACATTTGAATGGATCCTGACAACATTCACTGAGATGAAGAAGATAATTAGAGGCAAAATAGACTTTAAGTCAAAGACTGTCACAAGAGACAAAGGAGGACATTATATAATGATAAAGGATCAACACACCCCAGTTTCGAAGCACTTCAATATATAAAGCAAACACTGAAACATAAAGGAAAAAATAGACAGCAATACAATAAGAGACTTCAATAATTTACTTTCAGTAGTGTATTAAAAAGGCAAGACAGAAGATCAGTAAGAAAATAGAGGTCTTGAACTATAGACCAAATGCACCTAGCATAGACAGAACATTCTATACAACAGCAGCACAATATACATTCTTTTTGAGCACAGAGTGAACTTTCTCCAGGACAGATCACAAGTTAGATCACAAAACAAGTCTTAACAGATTTAAGAGAACTGAAATCATACCAAGTATCTTCCTGATCAAAATAGAATGCAACAGGAAGAAAACTGGAAATTTTACAAATAAGTAGAAATCAAATGGCACATTCTTAAACAACCATTTGTTCAGAGATGAAATCAAAAGAACAATTAAAAAATACCTTGAGACAAACAAAACCAAAAACACAGCATACCAAAAAATAACAGAACCAGCAAAAGCAATAGTAAGAAGAAAGTTTACTGCAATAAACATTTGTATTAAAAGGGAAGAAAAACGTTAAATAAACAAACTAATAATCCATGACTACATATGATTATTTTGCACAAAATAGGACTCAGCAAAGAATGGTTGGCCAGGGGCCAACAGGTGGCATGGTAGTTAAAGTGCTGGGCTCCCATACGACCAACTGTAGTTCAAGTCCCAGACTTGGTGGCTTGCTTTCTTTCTCTCTCTCTCTCTCTTTCTCTCCCTCTCTCTCTCCCTCTCTTTCTCTCTCTCTCTCTCTCTGGTGAGCACATGTGCCCTATAGCAAATAATAATAATAATAAATAATTCTTAGGAAAAAAGAAAAGATTGGTTGGCTAGTCAGTTAGCTGATTAAATAACTAGCAAAATAGACATCATTGAAAATGCCACATGGGACAGGGGGCAGTTAGGTGGCATGGGAGTTAAGGCGGCTGGATCCTACTTGGCCAACTGTATGGTTTGAGTCCCAGACTCAGCAGCTTCAAGAAATACACTGGGTGCACGTGCATGCATATCCAAAATCCCGAGAAGAGACCAGAAGAAAAAGGACTGTGGTGTGGCCATTCAGCCTGGGGGGTACTTTTTCACTCTCTGTCTGTCTGTCTGTCTCTCTCTCTCTCTCCAGTGAATGCACATGCCGATAGGAAAAAGTTACAATTTCTTTTTAATAAAGCGAAATAAATGAAGTGTATGTTTAAAGACTAAAAGTCACTGTTCTTCTCAATGGCACAACCTTACCCAATCATCCTTCCTTTCTTCACCTCTCACTTATAATCAATCAGTAGGGCTTGCTATTTTAAACTCAAAATATCTCTCTGATTCATCCCTACCTGTCTATTCTCTGTTCAAGTCATCTCTTAATTCATCTAACGACTTCAATAACCTCCGACTGTTGTCTCAGATTCTGAACTTACTTCTCTAATAATATTCAACCCTACCAAATCACAAACTCCATCCAATACCTTATTACATTTTGCTTAAAATTAAAAACCTTTAGCAGTAGGGCCGGCAGGTGGCATGGTGCTTAAGGTTGCGGGATTCCATGGTTCAAGTCCTGGACCTGGTGGCTTACTTTCTCACTTTCCTTCTCTTTTCCTCTCTCTCTCACTCTCACTCTCTCTTGCTCTGTCCCTTTCTGGTCAAATTAAAATAAATAAATAAAGTTAAATAAAATAATTCTTTAAAAAAAAAAAAGCCTTTAGCAGCATTTATTAATGACTGGTTTTGATCAAGTTGCTCTAACGAATTCAAGGAATTCCCTAATATACTTCAAGGTAAACTAGAGAAAGAGACTGAACACATGAAAATCCAGCCTATCCCTCCATCCCACTATCACTTCAACCAGAGTATTCTGAGTAAGATTTCATTGGAATAAAAGTTTCACTGACTAAAACCTTAAAACCACTAATCTATATAAGACCAAATTACTTTCCGCAATGTATAAGATCTTAGAGGACCCAAATCCTTTCTACTTCTCCAACCTGAATCCTCTCTCTTTTGAACTTCATCAGTGAAGAACTACTTGCAACTTTCAAAACTCTCCATGACTTCTTGCCTTTGCTCATGATTTCTTTCTGCCTGGAATACACTGGTCCCAGTCTCCTTACAGTCACCTCCGTCCTGTGTTCTTCACTTGGGTAACTTCTACATGTCCTTCAAACCTCTAGTTAAGCATCAAATCCCCTGGAATGCCTTTTCCAATCTTCCAGAATGGATTAGGTTTCCCTCCACTGTAGACAACTCTTCTCATGTTTATATGATACTGTTTTGAAATTACCTGGTTGCTCAAAAATAAGGGCTATTATTCATCTTTGTATTTTATTTGCTTACAAATATTTATTGAACTGAATTTTATTTTTTGCCCAATTGTTAGACATTCTAAACAACAATCTCTGCTTATCATGAGAATCCAGAAAACTAAATTTAAAAATTAAGCTAATCTTCACTAAGACTAGTCTTAAAGAAGATTAGATCTCCTCCTTTGTTCAGTTTTTTCCATGCTCACACTTATGTTAGGTGCCAGCTCCATGAAACAAGTAAGATCTCTTCAGCAGACAACTCAGTAATGGCTTTTCTGGGTCAGAAGTGGGTCACTTTTTGTACCTAATCATGTAAGAAATTTCCTTTCTTCTCTTCTTTGATATAATTCTAGTACTTTTGGAACCGTGAGACTTCCATATTCAGAGAGACAGTAAAAGCAAAGAGCTACCTCAGGTTAGTAAAAAGACATTAGCCATGGGACCAGCAGTTGGTAATGGCTATGTCACTGGACAACCATGTAGTCGACCATGGTTCGAGTCCCAGAGCCAGTGGCTTAAACTCACACTGGGCACGTGAGCATGCATGCTCAAGATTCTGAGAGGAGAATGGAAGAGAAGGGATTGTGGCGTGGCCATCCCCTCGGGGGTGATTTCTCACTTTCTATCTCTCTGTCTGTCTCTCTCTTTCTGGCGAACGCACGCGCCCTATAGCAAAACATCTCCAAAAAAAAAAAATTAGATATCTTTTTAAGGAAGTCAAGATGGATATGAATGGAATGAGAATGTAGTGTCAATTCCTTGAGAACTTTATTCCAGGAAAGAAGTGTCTAAATGAAACACTTATAAGACTACAGGAACTCTCTTCTAAACATAAGATGAAAATATAAGCTGCATGATGCAAATAAACTTATATTATTTTTACTTATAATTATAAATTCCAGTTAAATGTCTCAAAAATAATTACCTCTACTTTCCTCCCAAACTAGAACGTTAAGTTGCACTAAGAAAATTATATCTAAATTGTATATTAGACAAGTACATTTCTGTAAGCATACAATTCTTTTCCCTTTATAGAATATAATTTAATAATTAATGTCCCAAAATATTTTATTTTTTAATTTCATTGGATCAACAGAAACAAACTAGAATTATTTTTATATGTGGCAATGTTACTATTTCAGTAGGACAAAAAAGATAGTCAATAGAGAAACCAAAATTAAGTTCAGTTCACAAATTTGCTCCTCTGATTTAATCATAAATTCATTTTCATATTGTAATCATCTCTATTTTCTTTATTTAACACTTGAGAACTCTACCAATATCAGTCTGAGTTTCCCCCTCCTTCATTTGAGAAAGAATGTTCAAGGATAAAATGAACCTCTGTTATTTTGTGACCACTGCTCAAATACACTCTTAGCAAAAAACTCCCTACATGGGCAAAATTAGCATTACAAACACCTACATGAAGGAATTACTTCCTTGCAAAATTAGTCTAACATAATGCCATCAAAGTTGTCTTTTGGTACAGTAATGTGTGTCCATCTAGCCATATTCATATGCAATACTTATCAGTATTCTGGACTAAATTTCAGCTAGATTGTTTGTAAATGCAATTGGTTTAAAAGACAGCTTTTTAAAATATCAGGTGGAAGCATTTGTTTCTTATAAAAAGGAAGAAGAAAATACAAAGCAACCAACCATCTTTAACTTATTTTTCTGAATGACATCTTTGTTTTCCTTTTGGTATATCTCCATTTTCTTTTTAGTGTTGTCCAAATCCACATTGTTGGTCAAGTTGAAAACTGCATCACAAAAGAAACAGTGATAGAAAACACATTTTTAATATAAATCTTAAGTAGATAAGAAAAACCAAATTTTTACCATAGTGACTTCTTATTCTTCGGTTTGTCATTCTTTATAGCTCTATTCATGTACTTTACTCAGCTATTTAGATGCTAGTTCTCATTATGACAATCATGGATAGAATATAACACTATCACACAGAATACCTAAATATTAGGATCATTCAAAAAAAACCTAAGATATATGCTTGCCATAACCACATTAGATTTTATTTTTATTATACCCATTCTAACTTTTAAAAGCATATAAAAGGTTGTTCAATTTTTTTTAAGTAAAAAAGAGTAAGTCTGAGATCTACGACTATGGTCAGAATCAATACTAAAAAGAATCTGTGCTCCGCAAACAGAAAAATGATACTCAATTTTTTAAAATCATGTTTGTTTAATGTATGTGAACATTAATGCAGACTTTTTTGGCACTGTATTCATGCAGAAAAAATAATTTTGTATGCTATAAAGATGTACAATCATTAAATGTAATAAAAAATTAAAAGCACAAGATTACATATACAGACATAGAAAAAATTATATGTTCGTGTAATCTATATAAAACCAAAACAGGTTTTATTCACAATCTAATTGTCTCCAATATTACTAGGCACAAGATTGAGTTATTTCCCATGGAGTCTAGATCTGGAAGAGTATGAAATAGAAAAAAGTTGAAACTTAAGAGGTAATGTAAAAGATAAATTGTCACGAAGAATTATACTAAAATAATATCTTAGAAGTCACTAATGGGAAGATAAAAAAGGAAGTAAAAGAAGTTTTTCCAAAGATGTTATGAAAGGTCCTAATCCAAAAGTACCAGAGCAAAATAACTTCAGTGACAGTGGTATATGTGTATTGCAGTATGTACAGAGCTCTTTTCTGAGAATCCAATTCTCAGTTTTGAACTACTTATGAATTTGGCAAAATGTTTTCCTCCCCTAAGAATGAAAACAACAACAAAAAAAATCAAAAACATAATTCTGAAGCTGCAGAAAGATCAGAGCAAAGAGAAAAAGAAGCATAAGAACAGTTACTCAGCAGAAGCATCTTTAGGCGAAGGAACAGAACAAATGGTCAACACTATTTCAACTTTGGGTATAGACCATAAAGAGCACTGAAGTGCTCACTACTCAAGAGTGACTTGTAAATGTTAATGCTTATATAAATGCCATATAATTAATTTCCAAGAGAGTATGTATTAAGTAAAAGTCTGCAGATATGTTAATGAGGCCAATTTTTTTTTCAGAATTTATAATTATCTTTTTCACTTGTTAGGAAGCTTTTGTATGTATTTTCTATTACTAGTACTTAAATCTGAAACCTCAAAACACAAAATAAATGAAAAGAAAATGTTTACATGAAAAAAAGCCACTGAGAAGTGTTCAGACACTACTAAATTTTCATTGAGTTAGACCTCTCTTTTTATAATTCCAACTCGAAATTTAAATTATAAATGCCATACTCCTAATTTACATATATAAACCAAAAGGCTACAGGGCCAGCAGATGGCAGAGTGGTTAAGGTGATAAACTCCCACGTGGCCAACCACAGTTTCAGTCCTGGGCCTGGTGACTGAGATTTATGCAAGGCACGTGTGTGTAGGTGCCCAAAATTCTAAGAGGAGAATGGAGGAAAAGGGATTGCGGCTTGGCCATACCACCAGGGCAGGGGGGATTTCTCACTTTCCTCTCTCTGTGTCTGTCTCTCTTCAGCGAGCACATGCGCCCTATGACAAAAATCTTAAAAACAAACAAACAAACAAAAAGGTTCCACTAATACTCTGAAACAAAAACAAAACCCTCTTTAGGTATATATGACCTCAAAAAGTACTGCCTTACTACCTTACTCCTTATAGTCTACATCAGCCTGCCTAAGGAAGAAGCTACATCTACGTTATTAAGTCTTGTCTTTTCTATAATTCCAGTTCGGATCTCCCTCAACTTTCCCTGTACTCTTTCTTCATTCTTCTGTTCCTTCTACAATTACTTGCCACTGTTTTCTCTTTCTTGTCCTACAAATAAAACGAATCTACCCTAAATAACTCTTCTCTATCTCCTGTGTTTCTACAGATTCCTTCATCTCACTCCTTCCTTTAATTAACAGTCATGTCAAATAGTCCCTACACTTTGGGATTATAGAAACCTATCAGGTTAAAAAGTAATACTGAGGGGCCTGCACGTGGTGTGGTGGTTAAGGGCGCTGGATTCCCACATGGCCAACAGTGATTCAAGTCCTGGACTTGGCAGCTTGTTTGCTTGTTTTCTCCCTTTCTCTCTCTCTCTCTCTCTCTCTCTCTCTCTCTCTCTCTCTCTCTCTCTCTCCCTCTGTATAACTCTCTCTCTCTCTCTCTCTGCCCCTTTCTGGTCAAAATTAAAAATAAATAAATAAAGTTAAATAAAATAATTCTTTTTTAAAAAAGTAATACTGAAAGTACAACATATAGTTGCCTGTTTTGTTGAGTAAGGTCATCAAATAATCTCAAAAGACCACTCTAGGGCAACTGGTGGCATGATTCTTAATGCAGTCAGATCCTATATGGCCACTGAATAGTTCAAATCCCATCTGAAAACACAAGTCCTGCTTAAAAAACACTCTGGACATATGTGCATCATGCCCAAAATCCCAAGAAGAGAATGGAGAACAGACTGCAGAGTGGTCATCCCCCATTGTGGGAGTAGGATTTCTCACTCTCTCCCTCCCCCATCTCTCTCTCCCTGTCTCTCTCTCACAAGTGCACATACCCTATTAGCGAACTGAAAAAAGACAAATCTATGTGATATATAATTTTCAAAGAGCTGACTTATTTCAGAACATCAATTTATCATAATAATAGTTGAAAATTCAGGCTAGGTTAGGAGACAAAATTCTATTCAATTCTTTAATGAGTTATGCATAATTTCAACTTTGGTAAAACTGAAAGCAAATGAGAAACAACAGCCCTCTAGCTACTTCAACTCTTTTAACACAGAGTAGAAAAGAACCTAGTAAGGGTGGTAAATCAAGAATCTGGCTAGAATACAGGGTGGAGTATTCTCATAAATCAGATTAGGGTCTTAACACTATAAAATCAGATGGGCAGGCTCCAGATAAGCAATGCTCTCAGAACAGCATCTGTGACCCATTAGTTAACAGAGTGATTCCACCCTCTTTGCTAACCACTCACAATTTACTCCTTATATTTAATAGATCATCCTCTGAGCCATCCTCTGATCAATATAATGATCTTTCACAAGCTCCACCACGCCCAATATCTATCAGATCTATCCCATTTGTTTGCTTAAGGACTTTCTTCCAAAAACTTTGCTTGAATACACTCCATATGGTAAACATCTACGGACTATGTATGACAGGCACTTGACCTAATTACCTCACTTAATTTTCCTAACAACCTTAAAAGATAGTACTATCTCACTTCACAAATAAAGTTTAATGGCACCAGCAGATGGCATAATGGCTATGTTGCTATGTTGCTAAACTCCCACATGGCCGACTGTGGTTCGAGTCCCAGACCTGGAGGCTTAAAACTCACGCCGGATGCATGTGCGTGCATGCCCAAGATCCTGAGAGGAGAATGGAGAAGAAGAGATTGTGGTATAGCCTCCCCATCCAGGGGGTAATTTTTTGCTTTCTGTCTCTCTGCCTTACTCTGTCTCTCCGGGGAGCATATTCATCCTATAGCAAAAGTCTCTCTTAAAAAAAAAAAATATATTAAATACTTGTCTAAGATATACTGCTAGTAATGTTGGAACCATAATTGTTTTTAACAATTTTTTTTTAAGAATTGTTTTATTTAACTTTATTTATTTATTTACTTACTTACTTACTTACTTGTTTTACTTTGACCAGAGAGGGCCAGAGTGACAGAGAGATAGAAAGAGGGAAAGTGAGAAAATAAGCCACCAGGTTTGGGACTCAACCCCCGGTCAGCCATGTGGGAGTCCAGCATCCTTAACCACCACACCACATGCTGGCCCCTGGAACCATGATTTTACCTAGGCTATTTGATTCCAGAGATAAACTTTCATTAACAATGCCAGTTGTGCTGTTTCTCTAAATACCTGAAATTCAGTTCAATATTCTGATAGGCCCCATCTTTTTATCTGTGATCAAAGTGTTCCCTCTATCCACAGGGTCCATCTTAGTATCAACTTAACCTGGAAAAATTGTGAATATCCAGATCCAAACAGGTTGAATCACCAGCTCTTCCTTATAACTCACTCTGCAGTTACAATTTCTCTGTCTGAATACCCATAATATATTACCTAATATCATCCCATTGGCACTTACCCACTTTCTACCTTGTGGGTGAATCCCTTCAATGTACATACCTTGTTTGCCTTATTAGACTGGTACCTGAGGGCAGATTCTAAGACTGATTAATTTTTATTATCACTCCTACCATTTCTACTACACTCCTAGTAGACTGGCAAAGGTCCAGTCATAATATCAAATGCTGGCAAGGATGAAAAGCAACAGGAACACTCATTCATTGCTGGTGGAACACAAAATGGTACCGCTACTTTGACAGACGATTTGGCAGTTTCTTACAAAACTAAACATACTTTACCATATAATCCAGCAATCAAGCTCCTACACATTTACCCACAAGAGCTAAAACCCTATGTCCACACAAAACCAGGGCTTTATTCATAACTGCTAAAACTTGGAAGCAGCCAAAAGGTCCTTCACTAGATGAATAAACTGTGGCATATCGATACAATGGAATATTACTCAGCATTAAACACAAAAAAAAGAGTGATAAAGCTAAAAAAGACACAGAGGAACTTAAATTCATATTATTAAGAAGAAGCCAATCCAAAAAAAGCTACATGCTATGATTCTAACCATGTGACATTCTGGAAAAAGAAAAGATCAGTGGTCATCAGAGGTTAGAAGGAAGGAAGTATGAACAGAGCACAGAGGACTTTTCAGGTATCAAAACTATCTATATG